TGGACAAAGGACCTGATCAAAATGACAAATGGCTGTGCCAATGCCACTCATGCACTCGCAGTCCGTGCTCATCCTCACACGTGTTCTCTATCCTGGTGTGTCTGTGTGCACACACATGGGAAAGTGCCTGATGAAATCCCATGGACATGCTCACGTGTACACTCACGGGAATATTAAGGACTACAGAGGCCCACCACCAGCCAGCCATGCTGGCAGATGAGATTAAAGAGGAGACTGCAACATGCAGGCTGGAAATAATGAGAAGCACTTTCATCAGTAAAACTGCAATTACCCAGTCAGCAACAGCCTTGCATCTCTGTGGAGCAAGTAAAACTACTTATTAAAGAGATGCCTTTACTGTGATCTGACTTTTAGAGGAAGGAGAGGAGTTGCCCTGGCTTTCCCATGTTTTATTTCTCCAATTCTCAGTGGAAAGACCCATTATTATAAGTGCAGGCCTCACCACACACAGCACCATGGCTGGTGGGTCTGCTGGAGTCAGCCACAGCTGGGAGGCTGAAGGCACAAACTTACAACCAAGGAGTCTTCAAAACCACAGCTGATCTGCTCCAGCATCATCCACGCAATTAGTGCCATGGGTTTACTTTACTGATGCTTCATGGAAGAAAATTTTGCTAGGGCATGGAAGAGAGACAGTTTCCTATTTTAAATCACCTGGTTCTAAAAAAGAAAAAATAAAAGAAAAAAAAGAAGAAATACAGCCCCCCTCTTCCCCCTTTTACATAAATATTGGATCTGAGCACTCTCTGCTCTTAAGAAGTTAAAAATAGGAAATAATATCAAGTCTGTGTGCTGCATCTTTTATCAAAGACTTTTATAAACATCAAAACCAGCTCCTCTGCGCTCTTTATACTTTCCTGCTGTCACTCACAATTCATAAAAAGGGTCTACAGAGATACAAAGGGTAAGGCACTTTCCAGTACTGTCACAGACAGTCTGGGACAAAAAAACAGCTTTTCCTCAAAGCTCTGAAATATAAGAGCAATTTTATGATATAATGTCACTTTGAGCACAAGAGATGAATTATAGATATTCAAAATATAATAACACTTTCATAAGTAAACAATGCTTTGCAGTGTCAAAGCTTTTCAGCAGCAGTGTCAAGCCTTTGCAGAAGGATCAACAGCACAATCACCAAACACCATCGGGAAGCAAACAGTGTGAGAACACACGTGTTTAACCTAAAGGCAGAGTCTCTCTGGCCAAGCTGCTCTGAGTTCTCTGGAGACACACATCCAGATCCCCTCTATAAACAAAGGGAGGCAAGGAGATTAACAAGATGACCCAGAAACTCCTTACACATAAACTTGACTTAGACTCTGCCATCTCTGTGAGACCTGTGATAAATCCAAACCTCCTCCCCACCTGAAAGATGAGCAGGCTTACACTCACCTATATCCAAGAGATATGAGCACTAATTAACTCTAACATTAAAAAAACACATTTGAAAGATGACAGCTGCTAGAATATTCATGACTCTTACCCACACTGTTTATATAACTGGATATGGAGCAAATCCCCTATGCAAACCCCAGCAAACCTGACAGCACCATTTAGCTGTTTGGCATCTTTTCCACATATGGCAAATTCCATAACTTGTGGTCACCACTATTTTTTTTTCCTGCCCTGCACATAAGAGCTAGGAATTTGAAGGGAGGAAGTGATAAACCCATGATAAAAAAAATTCCAGTGAACTGTCAGCATTATCCTAACCAAAAAAGAATTTCCTCCTTAGTCATCCACAGGCAGGGTAAGCCAGCTCCCCTGTGAATTACAGAAGAGCAGGGAAAAAGTGCTTATCTGGGAGATTACTTCTCTTCCTAGTACCTCAGTATTTAATTTTTAAGCAGGGCGAAGGTCAAATGAAAACCACCTGATGGTGATGCAAATGTAGCCCTGGATAAAACTACACAGGGGCCCCAGAAGAAAGAGCTGCTCTTTGCAAAAAACTTAATAAAAGCCAAGCCACGGTGCCAGTGGGGATGACGATGGCAACTCAGTATCCATTTGCCACAAGGAAGCTGCCAGATGGCAGGAGGGCACATCCACGCTCTGGAGGGGGCCAAGCTAAAAGGCACCAAAAGCCCCTGCAGCCTTCAGGAAGCCAGGGCAGTGCAGGGGGTTCAGCATCACTCAGCACCCCAGTGAATGCCCCCAGCCAGGCAAACTGTGCTGAAGCTAGACCTCTCACCTGGACTATGAAGAGAGACCCACCTTCTAGTGACACTAGGGCTGGAATGCAGCTGTGCCTCATCCCCCAGCTTGTCTACAATAATCTTTATAAATATATATAGGGTTTTTTTATTGCACACACTCAGGTCCCCTTTTCATTGCTGTCACCTCGGGTCTCTAATCCAACCTCCTGCCTTTGACACTGCAAAGGTTAAAAAAAAAAAAAAAAAAAAGGAGGCAGAGCAATTATGGTACCCTGCAAAAGCAGAGCCAGCAAAATCACAGGATCCCCAAAACATTACCATAAAATACTGCCCAAAATGGCACGTTGTGTTTCTGAACTGGGCTCCACACTGCAGAACCAGAAGATTGGTAGATGCCCTCTCATGGTGGCAGGCTGGCCCCATGGCAGCCGTTCCTGCCCATCAGTTATTGTTTGCTGTCCAAAGTCAGCAACCAGACCAGCTTGGATATGATTAAATCTCGATTAGAAACTCTTCATATCGTGTCCCGTTCGCGGCTTTGGGACAGTGCAAATCCTGCCACCTTCACCAGGAGCCCCTCCAAGGGCCTCTCGCAGCCCTGGGATGACAGCCAGCTTTGGAGGATTTACATTTTCATGGCATGAGACAAATTTCACTAAGGGTTCCTCAATATTAATCCACATAATGCTGCTCAGCAGATGGGAGCCCAAGAAAACAGCCTGTCGACACCTTCGGCTCAGCACAGAGCCCCTCAAAGTAGCATACAAGGAGTGGGGAGCCGAGAAGATACCTCTTGCTTTCCTGGCTTTAACAACAGCATGTCTTATGGTAGTTCACTGCTTCTTTGCAACCTGAAGAGCACAGTAAGTCAGCAGATAGTTCAGTATTTACTGTGCAGATGCAGATGCTCATGGAAAAATCACACATTAAGAAAGACCTTGATTCTGAAAGTATGACTATGATGCTTCAGTCAGTATCAAATTCAGAGCAATATCTTGAAGTAATAAACAGAGGATCTTTCAAGACATACTAGCAGGATTATTCCAGGTCTTAAAAAATATATAAATATTTATTTACTTATAGAAACAAACAGAAATACTGCCTTGTGTATCCCCAGTTAGATGGCCTGCAGTAAGGGCACAAAGTTTGAGTACAAATGGCATTAGTAAGTGCCCTAATAGAGGGACAGCCCCTAAGAAAAGAAAATACATGATGCAAAAGGGGTTAAAGGATTTAGCATAACGGAAGGACTGAGATCCACAACTAATTTGCTTTGCTTGGGTTGGTTCTCACTGCTGCACAATGAGCAAAAGCCAACAATCTCCAAATCAGGGTCCTTGGGGTCAGTAGCACCAGGATGAGCACAGGGGGATCAGCATCCTCCATCCTGGGGGGTATGGTCTCCTCCAAACTCCCCATGCAGGACAGGGAAAGAAAGGTTGAAGCGAAATTTTAGCATCAGCAGCTTCAGCATTTTCCCCAAGCAGAGGAAGATGCAAATCCAAAGATTCAGCTGTAAACATTTTAAAAGTGGCAAATGGAGTTTTGGCAGCTGAGAAAAGAATCTCTAAAAGCATTACTTGCATTTGCTGCCCCCAACCCTTACAAATCCTGCCTGCTGAAGTGGTCAGGGAGGGTGACCACAAACTGAAAGGTGAAACTAGTTTTAGCCCTGATTCCAAAAAAGCTGGAAGTAGTTTTAGAAACAGGAAACCATCAAGCAAGAGACAGCACCTGTAGATTAAAACCTCTTCCTTTGTCAGGCTTTGACACATTTGACTCACAAACCCATAAAGTCAAGACTCCCTTAAAAAAGCTTCATTGTCAAATTTATTTTATAGCTTTGAGGTTATTTTTTTTTCCTTTAAACCAATAAATGCTTGCAATTCCTTTATTTGCTGCCAGCTGGGGAGAGAGTTAAAAACTTTCTGCAAACCTGCAATTTCAGTGCTTGTCTGTGCTGGGCACTAAAAAAATTCCACTGGAGTGAGAGCAAGAGGGGTTAGTCATGACAAGAACATCCCTGCAATGTGCCAGGGCTGCTTTTCACTGTCATTCAACCATCCTTAATACCGACTTAGCCCATCAATGATTTTCATAATCAGTTATGTGCTTTTGAAACACACACCCACATACATAACCCTCACCAGCAGCCAAATTGAAGCATTTTGTATTTTTATTATTATTATTATTATTAATAACACGCATCTGCCCACAGACCCACCCCCTAAGGGATATTTTGATTCAACAATCTACACCCTGACTGAGAGAAAGCCCTTTCTACTTTACCAGCAAATATTTTAAATGCTGATAGGGTTTATCCTTCAATTAGCACCCAAGGATGCATCTGGCAGCCCCCTACCCAGATGCTCACGCTGACCAAGGGGAAAGACCTGAAACTGCTTACTCTCCAAAGGCTCCCCACAACTGGGCAGAATGAGACCTGTTCTGAACAAAACCTGAGATTTTTTTTTCCCCTGTAAAAAACAGCTGTAGATTTGCAACCAAAACATCGTTCTTGGCCAAGCTCTAAGTCTCGGGCCATCCCCAGGTCTGCCAGGTGCCTGCAAGACTTTGTGTGACCAGCGACTCACACCGCAAGGACCAATTCAGAACACCAGACTCAGGTTACATCTACCACGCCTTTCCTCTCGCACAGATCCGCACAATTCCGAGGGCAAGCACGCTGGGGCTGCTCTGGGTTATCCAGGTCACAGCCAGGCCAGGTTTTGTTCGGTCCAAGCAGGCACCTCCAGAAGCACCAAAGGGACTGCGGCACTGGAGCAGGGCAACTGACACTCCCATTCACTCCTAGTTACTTACAAAAGATAAAGCTCATTCCATCGCAATGTGCTGCTGACAAAGGACCTTTTCACATCTTACAGGAACAAGTGGAGAACTGGTTTGCAATGTCTTTATCAGACAGCTGGCCACAGGAAAAAAAAAAAAACAAAACCAACTTTAATATCAATGGTGTTTGCTTTAATTGTAGATAAAAAGCTCAAATGCCAGTGATCCTTTTTTCTTAGGTGCTTTAGAAGTTAGGAGTTAGTAAAACACCAGGAATTTCGGTGATGGGAAAGCTGTGTTCTGTATTCATGAGAGAGAAAAACAGTCTAGACATCTTTCCTGTTCAACCCACAAAGTAGGGCTTGGTTAAGAAAACTCTTATCTCAGAATGAAGAGCTGGTTCCAGGGGATGCCTCTGCAGCAGAGTACAAAGCCCATGAAAGCAAGTGCAGGGGTCTGACACTGCTGGGCTGAGCCTCCAGGCAGTCCTGCTGCAGAAGGTTCTGCCTTGGCACATGACCGTGCTGCACAGGGCTTGACCATGTGCCATCCCCACCAACCTGGCATGATGCTGCTGTTCACCAAATCCCCAGGGTCAGCTGCAGCCTCTCACAGGCACAGCAAGCCTTTATGAGACTTTGCTTCGATCTTGATCCTCAATCTTTGTCTATCATTTCCATTTGGCCTATAAGTCGCAGTCAAATTCAAGAGTGAGGCAACTGATTTTGCTTCCCCCTGAACATGCTGTACTCACCAGGCCCCCCCCCCCCCCGCATTTCCTTCCTTTGATGAAAACTGTGCTTACAAAGCAAGAAAATGAAACTTTTAATGGCTCACAAATGCTGAGGGGAATGCAGAATAAATGTATAAAGCATTTTCATCCCTTTCCCTTCAGCACCTCCTCTTTGTATAGTAAAAATAAGTAAGTTAGGTACAAAGAGCTGATTTTTTGTCCACCCCACAGAAGGAGCGATCTGTTCACCAGCACGCATAAGCATTTGACCAAACCAGCACAAGAGCCAAAAAGGATGATTTTCACAGCAAATTGATACCCACAAACACAGCTGCCCAAGAGTCCGGGAGGATCCAGGAGGAGGAATAAGGAGCAGCAGATCCATGTCTCTCCTCACATACAAGGCTAAGGTTGGGTATCAAAACCTTTAGGAGAAGCTGACACCACTGCTCCACACGAAACTACATCTCAAATTGGGTCTGACCCAACAAGGAAAAGCCACCTTTGGAGCATGGCACCAAGGACTTTGGAAGGTCTTACCTTTAGCAGATGCTAGTAAATAAAAAAAAAAAATGATTGAACTACTGAAGATCAAGAAAGCAAACTGGCTAGTCAATGAGAAAACCATCTACATACCTGCTGTACAGGAGTGCTGCTACTCTGGAAAAGCTCTGGGAGAAGAAAAAATATCTTCCAGCTAGGTAAAGGAATGGCTTCATCTCCAAAAGATGACTGGGGAGGTATTCCAGTAAGTGACCAGTACACTATAATCCTCAGGACAGAGAGGCTTCCTTCCCAAATGGCACACGGTGACCCAGGAAAAAAACAGGGTAAAAAAATGGTAGGAACTTGAAGATGCTTTTATCCACAGCCAGCATTCTCCAGAGGGCTTCATGGGTCTGTATGTCCATGCATCCCATGATCCCAAAAATCCTTGGAAGCTACCGAAAGGATCTCACTGCCAGGCTGCTCCAAATGTTCCTCCAGGCCAGTGGAGTTGGGACCTTCAGAGAGAGAAAAGGGACAGGCCATTACAAACAGCTCTTACTATATTGGACGAGGTTTATTCATGTGCAAACTCGTATCTTTTGATTTATTTTTGCTCAGAAGGAAGCTTTTATGGTTTTTTTGGTTTTGCTTTAACTTGTGTAATTTATTTAAATGAATGTCACAGTGAGCACAGACAAAACATGGGGCCACCACCTCCAGATGCCTCACAGGTGCCAGGTGATGTGAGAGGAGGACAACAAGCCAGTAACTGGAAAAAGTTCTCACCTAACCAACAGACCTTTCCAAAACTCTCTTCTTTTTTGTCAGATGAAAGTAGACAGTTTTCCTCCCTTATCTTTTTTTTTACCTCTTCTAAAGCTACTGAGGTATTTTCTCTACCAGCAAGAGATGATGGAGAGGGTTGTAAGGCAGCAGATCCATGGGACCACCAGCCTCCTGACTTCAGAGGAAAATGTCTATCCCCCATCAGGAGAATCACACCATCAGGAATCTGCATCAAAGTCTGGCCCAATCCACCAGTGGAATCCTATCCCTGACACAGCAGAAACACTCAGCTATTGAGTACAACAACCCACTGTGACCTCCGGCCAGGCAGAGCCAAGCTTCCCACCATTACCTTCAGAGAAAGTAAACACATCCCAGCAAAGTGGCTCAAAACAACCAGGGGATTAGTCATAACTAGTACTTGATGTATATAAATGCATCATAATCTGGAGGGGTTTAGTAGTTTGGTTTTTTTGGTTCTTTTAGTCTGATCTTACTAATTGTGCTGGGAATAGAGTTGCTGGGATTTTTGTTTGTTATTTTAAAATACGAAAAAACTGTTGCATAAACACAGGTAAGTGCCAAGCCCGGAAATAATGCCCAGCAAGCACTGAAAGGAAACTCAAATAACTCTTTGCTCGACACTGCTTTCTAGTTCATCTGTAAAAAAATACAGCAGAGAGCAGCTGAGAGACAAAAGGTGGGTTTTTTCACTTTGTTTTAGCTGCAGCAGCACAGGAAGGTGATAACATTGTGTAATGTAACCGAGCAAAGGAGTAATGAAAGTGCAAGCAAATAGATCAAATAGCACAGGGTTAAGGAAAAGGTGTGATAATCATTTGTTTTGCTAATTGTGTCAATAAAGTCCTATCTATCCTCAAACAGCGGAAACGTCATCCGATATTTAAAAGGAAAAAAATCAAGTGAATAATTAAATCTACAAAAATACATCATTTTTTCCCCAGATGTTCTCTTTAAAGGGTTGATTAGGAGAATCATGTTTATTTTAAATAAAATTCCACTGACTTTGATCATGTTTAAATCACCTCAAGTACAAAACCTACTTTGCATCAAAAATTCCTCCTCCCTTGAGAAAACAATAAAAATTGCCTTCTCTGCAGGAAAGATGCAGCCCTGCCACAACCCAAGCTAACCTGGTTTGTGGTGCCACCAATGGGGCAACACCATGACCCATGAAAATCTCATGTCTTTGCAATGTGCTTTTGTTGCTACAAAGCCCAGTATGCAAATCAGTACAGGGCAACTGGAAGTCTGCAAATTCATGGAAAAAGAAATCTGAATTTTCTTGTCCTTGCTTCTAATGTTTTTCCAGTGATGGGGAAAGTTGGGAAATGAAATATACCCCAACTTCCCCCCAGGTAAATGAGCTGAAGCTGAAGAAAGTCTGACCCAAAACTCTGAGTTGATGAAAATATTTTGGAAAAGGATCTGAATCTCCCAAAATAGCTCCCATCCCACTAATGACACAGCCAACCTCAGCCACTCTGACAACTATATGACATTCAAAATGCCTGTAAAACCTATTTCTCTATGGCAAGAATACGACCCTCAAATTCTTGAGCTCTTTTCCCCATAAACCAGTTACCTGTAAAATATGACCACGCAAACAGAGATGAATCCCTGTCACCAGAGAAATGAGTCTTGCCTCACTGACCCAGCCCCTTGTCATGCTGTGCCCAAAGCAGCAGCGGGGCTTTTATTCCCAGCTCCACCACAACTGTGTCAACATGTACTTTGCTCACTTCTCCTGGGAGGCAAGCCCAGCAGTCCTCACTGTCCAACAGGCAAAAACATAATTTCTGTGTTTTCTTTCTTTTGTATCTCCCCCCATCTCACATACATGGCACCACTCACATCACTCCCATCATCTGCCTTCAAGCCCAGCTGAACAGCAGCAGGAGTCAAGGGCTATGGAAGAGCTCAGTGACCACCATCTTGCACGTTATGCTTTTACAGTCATATTTTTACAGTCAGGCTTTTCTAGTCAGATTGTAACAGATAAACCAATGACAGACAATTAACGTTCATTTTGAGCATCTTCCTTCATGGTGTGGAGGATCCTCAGCACCTTCCCCGCCCCTGGATGTAAGAAGATACTATCTTACTGCTTCCCAGTTCAAGGTGTAAATGAAATTCAATTTCTTGTGCCCAGCACATGCCTGAAAAGTTTCCAGTTCTCTGGGCTCTACTTTTAAAATGCACCAAATTGTTAAGACTAAGTACATTGCCTTCTAGGAAGATTCCGACTCCATCTCCAGCTCACTCCACTCCAGGCTCTCAGCAGCCTTCTGCTTCCCCTTCAGACTGTAGGATCTTCCTTGCAGACAAGTCCATAAGTATTGCCTAACACCAACAGTTTAGGTTTTGCCCTAAATAACTCACTTAAGGTCATGAAGTACGTTGGCAGGAAAGCCACGAAGAAGATCCAGATTTTGCAAGTCATGGGCCAGCACTTGGAAAACACATCCATCTTCCCCATCCCTGGCCAAGAAATTACTCCATTACTTGTACACAACAAGGGTTGAATCATTTGCACAAAGAAACACCACGAGCTGAGCACGTGTCCAGCTCTGAGCAAACAAGGCATCACCCTCAACCCAGAGAGCAGCAACCTGAGCCCGTGGCTCCTCTCCAAGGGCAGCAAGAACCTGTCAACATGAGCTGTAGGAAACTAGCAATGAGAAAAGTGTGCCCCGTAACAGAAGAGACCCCAAATACTTAAGACTTGCTCCTAATTAGTTAAAAAAAATGGGAGGAAGAGAGAAGAATAAGGAGTCCCATGTGTTAAAATTTTGACCGTGAAAGAGTCCCAAGTGCAATGGCTCATTTAAAAAAAAAAAAACAAAGGATGTTTTCTGTGCCTGTGTTTTCTTATTTTAAGGAAAGGGCTGTTTTTTCACTTCAACATGTTCATTACAACCCAGACATGTGATTTAAGTGCAGTAAGGGACCTGTTAAACCTCATAATCATTGTAGTAAGCTCCAGCAGTGACTTTATTATGGGCAAGAATGAAACCAGGAGCATTCATTTCTGCTGCTCCTGCCACCAGGCACTGTGGGCAGTGTGTCCTCAGTTAGCCAACACCAACATCCCCTCCCAAGCACAAGGTGAACATCCCAAAATGTCTTGGCTACATCCCCACGCAGAAGATCTCTAGGTGCAGAGACTGCTTATCAAACTCAATGCTACCCAGCAGAGGAAAAAAATAAATAAAAAAAGGAAACAATTCAACTTTCCTGATTGTTTTCATAAATCTTACAGTTGCAGCTGTATTTGCTGAAAGGCAGAAGTTTGCTACAGTGGGTATCTCAGCTACCACAGTGGAATAGACTTCTCTTGGTTTAGTGAGTCAAAGCAGGCTCAGCACCAGGGCTGGTGGAAGGAAGAGGGCAGGACCAAACCCAGACTGTCTCCTGCAATAATATCCAGATCGTGAATCAGTTCAAGCCACCTCCAAAACCTCTCCCTGTTCTTAGGCATGAAATTTTAAAAGAGTTATAGACTGAACCTGACATGGTAGTTGAGAGTGGCAAAATCAGGGGTTTCGGGTCAACAGGATCTGTGTTTCGTACCAGTGAGGAAACATGAACTTGTTTACTTCATGGAATTATGGAAGGACAGGGGTTAACAGGCTCTTCTACTATGTGCCTATAATGTTTACATCCTTATAACAGAGAAATAAACAAACCCCTAAACTGATATTATTTCTACTCCCACACAAATGAAAAGAAAAAGTAAAGGCTGCTGCTCCTTTTTGTTCTCACTCAGCAACACCAAGTTCTTGAAGTAACCTGGCTGCTTTTGAGGGCTTCACAAGTTTGGCCAACGTCCCAGGCAGTCTCTAGAGCTGGGGCGTTTGTTCCCAAATCAGAAAAAAGCAGCAACGGCCAGGACATTATTAATGAGGGGAGGGCACTTCACAGATGCTCCACCAGCCTGTTACCAGGCAAAGACACATGAATGTTTTAGGAAAACAAGATGAAGGCCTGAACAATTTACCTTGCCTCACCCTACCATTTTTCATCCTAAAAATCAATTCCTTCCTGGGAAGTCCAACCAAAAGGAAAAGTTGGAAAAAGACAAGCACAGAAGGACCGCCTGGTAGATTGAGAACTCCAACCTACATTCCCCCCAAAAAACACATTGTTTGGTAATGCATAAAGTGCAATCTAAAAAATGCTCCCAAGAACTCTTGTAATAGTTTCCCAAATAAAGTGAACATTTTAAAATGTAAGTCTAGCTATTCTATTGAAGGTGTCATCACAGTAACTCGTCACCCTCACATCCATCCAGGACTCTTCACCCACACTCATATGGGTCTGCCAACCACCCTAAACCAACACCCAAGTGACCAAGGGGGTGTATATTTACAGTTCAAGTTCTCACACAAAATGCAGGTCATGACCATGCTACTTCAACTTCACATAATTACTCCAAATGAGGATCACAAGCTGGGATGCTACGATTTGAAGGGTTGCTGAGATGCCTTACAATTAAGCCCATTCTTTTAAACGTTTTTGAAGACAAAAAGCAAAATCTTAAGCAGATGTTACACAATCTGACATTTTAAGCACCTAATGTCACCTTGGAACATTTTCAAAGTAAAATCTAATAACCTTATTCTCCACCTGCACCAGCTGACACAGATATATTCAGAGGAAAAAACCTAAAAACATTCCCTAAGGAGGAGGGGGAGAGACACTCTCCTGATAAATGGCAGACTGTTACATAGAAAAGACCAGAGGAACAAACTCTAAGACAAATATTAACTATAGACTTTTTATAGTATTCAAGACAGGAATGTTTCCCAACTTGGTAGGTGTTAGTCCAAAGAAAAATCACTTTATTTCATGCTATCGACATCACCTCTAACATGGAAGAGAGCATTCTACACATCCTCCTCTTTGAGAAAGATGCTTACAATTAATTCAAGAGTGTCATTCTCAAGAGATACTGGCGTGCCTCACCTGGAAAAACTGAAGGGTCACAGAAAAACAAAGTCTATTAAGAATGACCATTTCAGCCCAAACCACTTTCAGCTCAAACAATGGCTGTACTCCTTTTGAGATGCAATCAGGTTCCTTTAGTAGGAGGAATATCCATCTGACCACTCAGAGATGCTCCAAAAGTGTGGGATACTCAGTAACTGACTCATTCAAAGAAGACCTGTCTGATCTCAGTTCCCAAACACTGCTCAAATGGGATTCACATGAGGGGAAAATCAGACTTACAGATCCAGGCAAGTGGATGCAGTAATGCAAAGGACAAGCACTTCATGCCTCCTGCTCTCCCAGGACTGTGGATTTTGCCTTCAAAGCTGTTTTATAGAAATGCTGGTCCCCAGGCTAAGCTTGCAGAGATATGTTGTGACCCTACAAGTGTAGGAGAGAATGGATTTTGGATTTTTGTTTATTTGTTTGTTTACTTGCTTGCTTTTTTAAAGTAGGCTTTGAATTATATCAACAATCTCTATCATCAACTTCACCTACCAAAAGAAAAGTCAAGATCTGTGCACCAAATGAAAGGCAGGTTCCTCCCACACTTGGGAGAGGGAAGGGCCTTTCCATCCCACTGTTCACCCCCAAGTGGGTACCATTTCACCTCCCATGCTGCCAGAAGGCTCACTCAAGAGCCTCTTTCTTTTCTCTGGTCCTCTGTGCAGGCACATGGCAGCAAGGAAAGTGACAGCTCTCCCACCATCCCATGACTAGCTCCAAAGACCTGCAGGAGCTCTCACAGGTATGACATGGAGTTGCTGCTCCATCCCAATATGCAGCCCAGTGCCAGGCTCCCTCACTGGGCACTGCTGTGATTCACAGGAAAGTGGGAAACTTCGCTGCTACCTCAGTTCGTGCCTTGGCCAAATTGACCTGCAGCTCCCCACACCTGGCTTGGTCCCCACTAACCATCTCAGCTTCCCAGAGCAGAGCTCAGTCTGAAGCCTGCAAACACTTTTTGCTACATTTATTTATGATTTTTAGTCTGCAACATTACTTACTAGCTTACAATAAAAGGAAAGAAAAATCACTACACCAGCTGCAAAAATAATCCTCCTGCTCATTATAGTTTCATTTCTTTATCTAAGACCTATTCTTTAAGCCTACAGGATCTAGGCTGTCACCACGCAGGCTAAAAACATGCTTTGTAGTCAAATAAATGCTGAAATTCTCATAAGACTACATCACTCCAGGAACAAAGGAGTTGTGCTAAAATTATAAAAGTGGCTAACAGAGAGATTAATTGGATGCTATTAAAAAAAAAAAAAAAACAAACCACAAAAACAAAAACCAAACAAACCAAATCAAGACACCATCCCCTTACTTTTCAAAGATAAAATCAACAAACTCCAGGCATCTCCTTTGCAGTTGTCATTTGCTTTCATCAACCCCCCACCATCGCAGCCTTCCTCTATTAACTGGATTTGCTCTTCCCTCTGTTAATCCATCCATGCTGCCCCTGCTTCAGCTCCAAAAAGGTAAAGTTGGGATGACTGGGTTGGTCCTCTGAAGGCACCAGTGGGACAAAAATTCAGGTCAACGGCACCAGTGCTGGTGAAGTTTGATCACTGTGGCACTGGACCAACACAGCTCCATCCTCACAAATGCCAAATTGATCTGCTGGCCCAGTGAGGCCAAAAGCAGACATTCCTGAGCCCACTGCTCCTCTCTGGGTTCCTCTGGACTTCAGCTTCTCAACCCAAAGGAAACCACACGCTGCTCTTGCTGGGAGCATTCATCGTGGGTAAAGCAAATCAGCCAAGAAGCAGCAAGGGGGCAAGGGCCAAGAAGGGAAAACACATTTTTTAATGACCATAAATCACCCCTTGGAGGACTGACACATTTCCAGCTTAATATCTGGTTCCTTTAAAAGCTGAATCCTTGGTGGCTGCCTCCTCATGCAAGAATCAGACAGAAGCCCAGTGGTAATGACTTTCCCTGTGCACTGTCACACTTGGCTTGAGGTCCAAGTATCCCCGCAGAGCCCAGGAGAAGCCCCACGTGCTCCGGGGCTGGCACAAGGCTCCGCAAAGGCAACTAAGGTGAAGATTTCAAAACAGCTCTGGGAATAGCAGTGGAGAAGCATTTTGGCAGATTAGGCTCTGTTTTCCTATTACTTTTTTTAAAGCTCCTACTTGTTAAGGGCACATGTTCAATATTCTGTAAATAATAATAACACAGTGTGTGTTTGCCATTAAACCAAAGCCCATGGAATAAACTTGACTCATTTTGGCTGTCCAATCCAAATAAATGCCTGCCCTGATATTACAGGCAGCTTTAATGGGCAGCTCAGTGAAGTCACTTGGGCACAAGCTCAGGACCTTCTCTGAGGTGAAAGAAAATACTATTATTAGAAAAGGTTTTGTAACAGTGTAGGACTAGGCTTCATCCAAACATAGATATTGCATTGGTTAAATCAGCATGGAAAGGTTTTATTTATTGCATCATACAGTTACACTATAAAGTTACAGTCCAGGACTCATTTTTCCACTAATATTCAAGAGAAATCCTTTTTCTGCTGATGCGAAGATTCCCATCAAGTACTGCACTCCAGCTCTACCTACCTCATCCTGTGTGTTTCTGAAGGAATGTTTTGCTCAGTCTCTCACTCACAGAGCACTCCCTACCATGAACCAGTTTTAGTTCTCCTGAACAAAACCAATTCAGTCTTACCAAGTCACTGTTCCTATCACTCTGCTTTTACCTCATTCTTGGTGATTAGTATTGCAGCCATATCAAGGGGGAAAAAAACCCAGAAATACAGAAAACAAGACCCCTGAAAACACACCTGGCTCCTGTATAACCCTCTCCATGTCTGCAAAATAAACATACAGCCCAGCAGTGACAGTGAGCTTCAGGGAATCAGCTGTTTGCTCCTCATGCCTGGAGCTGCTTCCCACCAACCTCGCATCTCCAACACACAGGGCAGCAGTCAGGGTTCAGCTCAGTTGTGTGGATGGATAACCTCCTCAGGTTATCCATCCCATAACCTCCTCATCCCATTATTTTGATGTCTGAATGTGCTCACAAAATCAATTAACTTCCCTGTAACACAAAAAGGGGATTTCTAAATTTTTATTCCAAGACTGACAATGTATTGCACCTCTTCTCACTCATTTATTGATACCAATTTATCTATTTTAATCATGTCCAGGCTCTTAAATGCTTAATGACCTGGTTTTCTGAAGAGCTTATATGCTGTGAGAAAAATAAGGGGGGGAAAAAAGGGAATGTTTTATCATTACATTAGCATCTAAAGGCATCAAAGGAATTCCTGGGCACATGCCACTTGCTGTATGTGAATGCAGCTAAACAGTGTATTTACATACACAGCCTGTGAGTCTCAGGAGCACTTACAGTCACAGAATCACAGAATGGTTTAGGCTGGGAGGGACCTTCAAAGGTCATCTAGTCCAACCCCCATTCAATAAGCAGGTATTTCTTCAACTCCATCAGGTTGCCCAGAGCCCCATCCACCAATGTTTCCAGTCCAAAAGGTCCCTTCTCTTTTTCAGGGATGATGCTGCCCTGGAGGGTACAGGGTTCACTGCATCCACACATCCCACAGTTCAGCATTATGTTCCTCTCAGCTCTTTGCCACACCCTCGCTGCTGGAAGCACTGCTGGAAGCACTGCCACTCTTCTGTGCCAAGGCAGCGATGCAGACGAGTGCTTTCTGACTTGATCCAATAAAAAAGGGGAAAAAAATCTAGAGTAGGATGGAGCTGTTTAAACATCAACCTAAGCTCACTGGATAGAGAGGGAAGACCTGGAGCCTTTACAGTTGCTCCTGCAGCACTGACCATCCAGCAATTCCATGGCTACACGGTCCAAAACTCATCTAAAGCCTCCATGTGGAACCTCTCAGCAGAAGGAAGGCCCACCAGCGTGTCTATCAAAACCAGACATGAAGTCAGGGATGTACCTTACCTACTGTGGAAATACGTAACACCAACAGCAGATCCATCTGCCACCACCCACCTGTCACTGCACCTGATGAGAAGCTGCTCCCTGTGCTCTGAGCTTCACACCTCTCCTTCCCAAAAGCTGCTGAAGGAGAACAGACTTTCTTAAGCATCTGGCTTACCCCTTCCAGGAGCAAACAGTCCCACTTCTACCTCTCCACTAACTTCAGTGGAGACCAGATTTCTCTCTCATGGTCATCATCGGCTCCAGGGACAGAAGATCTGTTTTCATGCCCATCTTTTAGCATAAAGAATGGAGAAAGATTATTGTAGGTGATATCATCTTTCCTTAAGTGAAGCAAGGTTAGCCCCAGTCTGTAAGTCCTCAGGGCTATTGGGCTGAAATATCTGAAATAACTTCTTTCTAAAGACTGCTCATTAAGACACCCTTTTAGCCAACCTGCTTCCTACGCTGAACTCCATGCTCCTGAGGATGATGCTGTAGCAGAAATCAGTGCCCTTTCCAGACCCCTTTCTTCATTTACTTAAGACAGCAAATGCAGGGCTGGTGCCCACAGTAGATAGCCAGACTGTGGGATATATTTGGTAAAGGAGCTCCCAATGTTAAAGAAGAAGAAAAGCAGGAAGGAGAGGACTCTGAAATACATCAACAATAATATCATAGGAAACGCATGAAGAATATCATAGGAAGTGGCACAGTAAAAACTAAACTTAGTGATTCAGGGCTAAAACCCAGTAACAATAATTAAAATAAAATATTATAGGAGATTAAATAACTTTTTTTGTCAAGAAGATGACACCTCCTGCTCTCCTCTGACCCATCTGACGCTGGTTATTAGGGAGTCAGGCTATCAGATTGGACACATTTGTGGCTGATGCAACCCTGATGTAACACTGCAGTCAGTGTTCAGCGCTGCTCCTGCAGCTGACACGGTGCTCACGGTCCCAGCTGCTGCTGTGATGCAGCAAGGCTATAAAAAGCCAGGGACTCAGCCTGGAAACTGGCAGCCAACCTGCAGCAGCAGTGTGCTGGCATCACCTTTCACCTACATCTGCCGAGCCGCTTTCCCGATGAAAGATTCTCTTAGAAAAACAAGCGCTGTTGTAGCTGGTCACTCCAACAGCTCCCGGAATCAGAGTTATGTCCTTCTAGGACACAGTAAGCTAAGGGCAAGAGAGGGAGATCCCACGCCAACGCCATCCCCAGTGATAGGGGCGTCACAGCAGGCTTGATAGGGGCATCAGAGCAGACTGTCCCGGGAAGAGGGAGCCTCTTCCCATCCCTGGTGGCTCCTGAAGTGCTCAGCCCCATCCACCCCTCCAGAGGCTGGTCCTATGCCAGCAGTCTCAGGCAGAGGACTGATGCTCCCTTCTCAAAAAGGGACACCAGAGAACAGCGCCAGAATGTTGAAAAGCCCCAGTGGCTTTTTCAGCTCCAATTCCCTGGCTCTCCAGCCTGGTAGCAAAGCACAACACACTAAGGACCCAAGAGCCAGCAATAGAAATCTGGGAAATTCAGAGAGGAAACATCAGAAATCATCAGCCCCAGAGGCAGGTGCCAGAAACCACCATC